CTCCATCCGGGCCATGGAGCAACACATGGAGGGACCTATGAGCACACGCACAAGATCACACCCACCCAGGGATGCCTCTTTAGGTCGGACTATTGGTGTGCATCAGGTCGTGTGTGTCTTCGCCTGCTTCTCTTACCTATAGAGGAGAGTGGAGAGGCAGCCACTCGATCACGAGCATTCAGCACGCACGCCTATATCTACCTTCTCGATGGGCTTCGCTAGGAGGTATATATACCTACATATGTGCTATGATATAGTAGGGAAGAAGACCGCTCCTCTATGCGGGCTGAGCTAGTTTTCTTTAGTCTATGGCCAATTTCAAGGGATAACTCAGAGATACGTTTTGGCAATGGCCACGTGGATCACTTAGTCCCCGCGCGAATATACGGGACACCTTGCTCCGTATATGGGTTAAATGGGCTCGGAAACGTTTTGGTAGTAACAGGTGATACTTTAAGGTGGGACTATATCTCCTTAATGTTTTTCTAGAATATACGTGGTTGCTTGCTCTATATGTGGATATCAATTTGACTTGTATTACGACAATGGGTTTGCTTTTTAATGATTTTCAACACTCAAAGGGTTACTAGCTCTGTAGTTGGGGTCATTTAGATTAGGAAGGGATGTATAGGGTGTTTGAATAATTTGCATGGAGGAAGGGTTATATGATCAATGAGAATGGTGTTTATAGCCGTTCTGGATTTTGTTCTTTCGTGTACACTGTTTAGTGTGAATATATACGGTGGTCACTTATGTGCAGGGGCGGGGGGGGGAGTTAAATTTCAAGAATATAGGTCACAGCAGTTGATGATTCAGAGCAGTCACTATCGAGGGTAGTACAGAAGGATCGAACACTGCTGAATTCGAAAGAGCGTGGTGGCTGCACCGTGACCGTGAAGCTAAAGTAGCGAATTTTAAAAATTCAATTTTTTTTTTCCGCTAGCGTAGCCAACGCCGAGGCGTCGCTAAATAGGCTCGTAAAGTTAGCAGAATTTAAAACCGGAAGCGGTACGGTTTACGGCGCGGTAAATAATTTCCATTCCGACAGCTCCTCGGCGATCTCGCTAATTATACATTATAATCGGGTTAAATTCGAGTTGATTTTACGCAACGCTAACGCACAGTTCGAAATCGCCGTCGTTTAATTAAGTATCGCACGCGGAGGCGATGTACATTTCATTACGAAGCCCGCATCACAATTCAATGAGTGTCAGATTAGCAATAATTACGTGAATTAATTAACGACGACCGATCTTGTTGCGAATGAGTAAGTAATTAAAAATTAAAAATCGCTCAACTTTACAAACAGCGCAAATTTCACTCCTACCACGCACGATGTCAACCTTGCGCATGCCGTTGCGTTAAAAAAAAAAAACTAATTCCAAAAAATGCATCGATATTCAATTACAACAGTAAGTCTAAAAATTTTTCAAAAAACAATTAAGAAACAGGCAGCTAAATTCGTTAGTTTCTCACATAGCGATCTGACAATCCCAGGTCCCAGTCCTGTTCAGGATCCTTGCTGGTAAATTCTCAAACGGCAGATCCCTGCCTTACCGACCATCCACAGTACCGGCACAACCATCAAGCCGCAAGGCGCACCAAGTGGGAAGGGAAAACGAGCGAAGCCGCGATTTCGACGTCGTAAACGTCAACTTTACGGTTACAGTGCTGCTCGTAGTCGGTCTATATTGAACGAGGTTACTCCCTGAGGTACGTAACACCTACTACAGCGTCGCGTGGAGCCACTTCGTACATGCTCACTCCCCGTGGGAGGGATAGAAGCACGTGGCTTTTACGCGGCAAACCATACTCGCCTCTACAGTTCAAGGTTCGTTGGCTCCTTTCCCGGCGAAGTTCGTGTCTAGATTTTAACTAGCCCGAAGACAAATGGCCGCCAGATTCTCTGTCGGACTTCGAGACTTTTTCCCGCGGTTATACAATACTCGGACGGTATATATAAATTTTTCTCCAAAAAAGAAAAAAAAAAAAAAAAAAAAAAATTGCACAACCTGCAGCACACAGCCTGAGGGACTGCAGGAGCCGAGAGAAAACGAAGCGTCAGGTTACTCGCTAAATTTTTCTCCAAAAAAAAAAAAAAAAAAAAAAAAAAACATTGCCGATACGAGCGCGTTCAAAGAGCGAGTACCGCGTTACGGCTGCGTGGACAGGTATTCTTCCCGTGGGGAATGTACGCCTGCATAGGTACACCTCGAGCACGATAAACAGTAATTTTCTGATTAAGATTCAATTAACAAGCTCGAGATAACACGGCTTGCCCACACTACCGTATCGTGACCGGACATGGCTGACTAATAATAACAATATGAATTTTCCAAATTTTCATCAAGCCATACACCGTGCATGCTCTGGTTGCTCCAGGTAAATATATAAGAAATGTAATTTTTGTCAGTAACGACTCTACAGGCCTTTGATTTCATCACAATACACCCAGAGTCCATATACAACACAGGGGAGAACCGTTCCGTTGAGAGGATTACGTCTGTAGTCGCTTTACTGGGATCGGATGAAGGAGAAGCATTAGAGACCTGAGGCGGCTAAGGTTGCTTACGGGTACCGTGGAGCAGATAGGTACCTATACCTACCTCGAGTAACACTTTATGTCGGTTTATCGCCGTGTTCTTAATGTCCTTTTAAAAAGGTAAACTCTTCTCTCGAAACGCATAACGAGGCACTTTCACGAGGGTGAATCGAGACCCCGCTAGATAGCATCCTCAACCCCCATATACTCTCGCGCCCTCTAATTACCCTATAGACGTAGCTCTACCCCTGAATGAAACCCCGTAAATATTCGGCGCATCTGGGCGCCCGCGGAAGAAAACGATTGAAACGTTCGAAGCGAAAGCACTTCCTTACTCGACTCTGCCTAGGAACTGTTCTCGCTATTATACCAGAGTCGAAATTTCCGAACGATGAATAACGGAGTTTGCAATTGCTGAATTAACATTTAATAACACGTGCTCGCGCTTGAATATAATATCTCACGGTTTACCAATGCCACATTGTTGCAAGGTCAAGATAATTATACACGCAAGTGTCTCTACTTGCATTAGCCTATTAAGTGCCGTTCGTTTAATGGTTCGCTTATCTACAGCCAGGATCGTATAGTAACCGTGTATTACGAGACAGTGCCAGGGACGGCGTTTCGCCGAAGAAAATGACGGCAAGAGAGTTATGCGCGTATAACAAATTAATAGTAAGATCGATGAGAGGCGCTCGATAAGATCAAGAGTAACCAGAAGAATTTACAGTGGCTACAGGAGGGATCAGCAAAATGAGTCAATGACTTTCGATCGGCGTGACTGCGCCTAGAGAAAACCTGTTCCAGAAGAGGAAGAGGCCGTGCAGCCTTTTCCCATAAGACTCGCGCGGTCTTTCTACGATTACGTGGCCGGTCGTTAATTCGCCGAGTAATTTCCAAAGGCTCGAGGGTGGCCGAACCGCTTGATTTTCTCAAGCGAGGTGTGAAATATGGTGGCAGGAGTAAGAGGGATTTTCACGTGAACGGTCCAACGAGGATTCGGCGTGCACGGCCATTCTCACCGGCCTTGTGCAGTCGCTCTGTGTGTGTCCCTGGATAATTTTAATATCGCGGATGAGAAGAACGTAGCAGGTAGGTAGTACCGGCGAGTTCCTTCGGCGCGTGAAGAGCGCGAAAGATCTTTTCAGCGGGATCGTGTTCTGCCAAATGAATAAGCGTCGCCGTGCTGACCTACGTGGCACTACCTAATAAAATAACTCTTGCTCGGTTCAGTATGCAAGCAATGGAGTATAGGTACGTGGGCGAAAATAAGATGAAAATAAAATTGAAGAGAGAGAGAGAGAGAGAGAGAGAGAGAGAGAGAGAAAAACAACATATATCTACTCCCACTGTCGGGACCCGAGTGCCAAGTGTGAGAAAGAGGAGACGTGGATGAGGCAAGGAGAAGGCAGAGAGCTGGTGCGCCGTGTTGGTATAGCCGCGAAGCTACGAAGACCGAGTGGGCATGGGGGCAGGAGAAGAGCCAAGAGCAGAGTGGCTCGGCCGTAGCCCCGATGTTGAAACTGAAACTGAAGAGCAACGTAAAGGGGAGTCTGGGTCCCGGAGGCCCCGGCCGATTATATCTGTAGGCTAGCCAGTCGGCCCGTTCGCAAAGTGTGCTGCTACGGTGCTTTCGGCGAGAGAGGCTGGAGAGAGCAGGCACCAGAGGCGAGCAGGCAGACACGGAGGAACGATGAAAACAGCTGACTGCCGGAATTCAGGTTCCGGAGGGTTGGAGTCTAACGGGGAAGGCACTTGAACCCCAATTGGACGGCTTCCCATTATACCCGTGTACCCAACGATTTTACACGCACTTGACTCCGTTCTGTCTCCCATCCACAAAGCGCACCGAGCGCGCCAGACTCCCCTTGCTACCGATGCTCCTTATGGTCCGGACTGGTGTACGGATACGCAATACGCTTGCAGATTGAACAGCACGCAACCAGGTAACCGAGGTACGCAGGAGGGCGTGACCGGATGAAAATTTATCGCTTCACTTTACCGACCACCTTCACCCTTCGCTCCTTGTCTTATTTACTTCCTCAACGATATCATGTATAAAATGATCCGATTGATAAGAACGTCACAGGACGTTCATTGATACGAGTGAGAAATATGGAGGCAGTATTTCATATCCCTCACAGTCCTCCTTTACGGTATCTCCTTGACGCCATCTACCTTGGCTACCTCGAAGCTATCGAATTAACAGCGGTATAATTATATTGGGTAGGAGGGTTGGGCAATAAAGTAAGGGTGAATGATTGTAGGTATATATATATATATCTACACATCTATATACGCATATAACCCTCCACTAGAAGAGCACGTGCCGTCCCCTAAGCTACTTACGATGGGCAAGTGGTCGTTTTAGTAGGTAAGTCGCCGGGTTGGTATGTCGGTAGGTATGACGTTAGGTACTAATATGATAATTGAAGTGAGTTTAAGGACGAGGACTCACCTGCTATGGCCATCCAGGGGTAGAATGTATGGTTGGCGGTAGGTTGCTGATGGAGTTGCGTGGCGACCGGTTGGCTCGCGGTCGAGTTGAGGCTGCAGGTGTTCCAGGAGGACGTGAGGGACCTGGAGGAGCCGTTGTTACCAGGACTGGAGGCGGGATCGCCGCCCACGAGGCCGCCGTAGCTGCCGACCCTCGTGCCCTCAGGGGTGCACGCGGAAGGACGTACCACCGAGTTGCTCTGGCTGTTCGCCCCTGAGGTCGCCGACTGCCAAACGTCCTTGACGGCAGCCGCTGCCATCACGGCGGCGTATCCGTTCTGATGTGCGGCCTGATCTTGCTGCTTGCACTCCTTCCCGGCGGAAGAGGAATACGAGGAGGTCGTGTGACCGCTGGCTTCCGGTGTCGAGGAGTAGAGCTTGCAGGCGGTAGCGACGCTGGCGTCGTAGGGTGAGTCCTGGGGTGGCCTCGTGTTGGTACCACTTCCAGGATGGATCCCGAGGGTCGAGGAGGTGTGATGATGATGCTGGGTGGATGCGTAAGGTGACATGCCAAGGCCAAGCGGGAAGCTCCGATAGGCCGCGGCTGTCGCGGGATCATGGTGCTGACCCGCAGCCCCCGTCTGATGATGGTGGCTCCCGTAGAAGCCACCCGCGCTCTGCTCAAAGTACGAGTTCATTATTCCTGGTATTTTGGATCACTTGCACTGTAACACCGACACTCGGAAAAATCTTGTATATTAGCGTCAGGAGGAAGGAGGCGGGCTTTCGGCCTGCCTGCCTGCCTGCCTGTTCGTTCGTTTGCCTTCTGGCCTCTCTGAGCTACTCGTCCGCCCAACTTTACTGGCTTTGCCCGTCCCGGTGTCTTTGCCGTCTAGGCGGGTCGAGAGTGCCCTCGGCTGGCCGGGCCCTCCTGGCTGGTCCTGTGCCCGGAAGCCTGTCACCACCGTTCGGACGTTCGGACGGATGGCTACCTTGGCGAGTCTCGCGACACCTCGTCGCAAGTTGCGTGACGTGGACCGTGGACGTGGATGGCGGGTAGGGCGACAGGTCCGTATGGGTATGAATGTCGAGCAAACATTAAACCGTTTAAGAGGCCGTAAAAGTCATCGAGCTGTGGGTGGGACCAATGTCAATGTCAATAGGCCGTAGAAGCGTAACGGAGAATGGGACTCATGGCTTTATGGGCTCGTTACGGTCTCCGCTACCAGGGACCGTCGCTCGACTGGAGCGATGATCGTTAAATCGTTACGACGCAATAAACCGGGTAATAAGACGAGCTATAAAACTGCTTCGGCTTCTCTCCTCTTTCTCCCTCGCGCTCCTTCTGTCTCTCCCTAAACCGCGCGCGCGACGTGGCGGTGGTCGAGTGGCACGCGACCTGCACCTCGGACCACCTATTAAAGCGCGCTGACGAATCCTCGGGATCTTTAACGAGGTGTCTTTAATGCGTATATCTTCGATCGATAAGTCAACGACGACAACGTCGACGTTGACGCTGACGCCGAGAAGGATGAAGAACAACGACGACGAGAGTGACGAGGATGACAACGGCGACGGTTCGCCTTGACTCTCAGGTTGTCGGCACTGCACACTAGCACTCGTGGAAAATGCGAATCGTTGATACTGTGCTGTCTCTACGAAGCGTACGCAGGGGATCGTAACGAACCACGGTATGCCAGTGCGGTGGTCCACGGCACACTACTGCTTTTCTCGCGCCCCGTGTACCGCCACTCCGCCACTCCGTGTACCGTCGACGGGCGCACTCGCTTTCTCTCGCTCGCTCGCTCTCACTCGCCGTCTCGCTCTACCACCGATTCTCTCGCTCCTCGACGTTCTTTCTCCGTCGCACGAACCCACCACGATACTCCCGTCTCTCTCCGTGACTCTCGCGCCTCTCTCCACCCCTCTATGGCTCTCCTTTGGTGAGCCCCTGTGCCCAGAAGAAGGACAGCGATACTATCACCCTCCCTGTCTCTCACGTGGCGTCATTCCCCTCTTCGAACGATAACCAAACTCCCTCTCTCGCACACTGTTCGCCTCTCTCTCCATCGTACGGTTCGCCAGTCACATTCTTGCTCCGTTCCTCCCGTGGGACCTCGTGGCCTCTCAGTCGCACATGCGCGAAGCTCCTATTCTTTTCTCGCTCGTCCACAACAGTGCCCCCTGTCGAGCGTTCTAGTAACTCAACGACGTGCCGCCGGATTAAATTCGTAGCCGCACGCCGTGGCCAAGGCGGCCGAGCAGATAAGACGGTAGGAGAGAGAGCGCACGAGAAACAATGCACGAGTGCGATAGAAAGGGCGACTGTATTCTTGGAGTGGGGAGACGAGAATAGAAGGGGAAGAAACGGCGCTGGTAGGGACAGGAGGGGCGACGGGGGATATGCTTAAGGACCAATCAGAATTGAATTCGTCACGAGTGCCGCGCCGCCACGCTCGAAAGTTCCTCCGCGCTGGTAAAGTAGTTCCTCGGTCAAACGACGCCCATGGTATCGTCGGCCCCGCCCCCCCGTACCCCCACTCCATCCCGAGAGAACACGCGGAGTGGCATGCCACGCGTGGCACCGCGGGTCGTATACGTGCAGCGCCACCTCTGAGCGCAAGAGGGAACTAAGCGCGCAGACCCATTCAGACGTTCATACGACGAACATCGGCATCTCGCAAATTATAAGGACTCGCGAGATCGTCTTGTTACTTCGATACGTAGCCGGTATATGAACTTGCACGGAATTGACGGACCCGTCGAAAGAATTTCCCGAAAGCTGTCTCACTGGTCCGAGAACGAGCGAATAAAAGTAATCGCGTAGATAACTGGTCGGCGTCCGGCAGACGTGTACACCAGTAACGTTATCGTAAATGCCTTTACGAGCCCTTTATGCTTTACGGGCCAATTAGACGGTCATACAATTAAAACGTCGTAAAAGTGAGCCTCGCACTCGTGGCGTGCGCGCTGCGGTATCGGAGTGTTTATTGGGATGTAAATGTCGTTGGATTATCGCCCCCGCGGTTCGCACCTCGTAAATTATTCCATAACGAGCCGAGTAATGCCTATCATAAGCTGCTCCCGGCCGGCTGGCCATTTGCTAGCTCGCCATTATGAATGTTTAGCAAGTATTATCCAGCTGCTTCGGAGGCTCTAGGCCAAAGGAACCTTACGGAGCACCCGTCCTCGTTTTCTCTCTGATCTATCCAGACCTGTCTCCATCATCGACCAGTACAACCCAATTTTCATTGCCCATTCGTACATCCCTGACGTCATCCGTAGCCTTCTTAGATCGTAAGATATCGACGTATTACATTGAAACAAAAAAAAAAAAAACTAAATCATTTCTACCTCCGACAGTCACATTGTTTACATATTGTATCAATTATTCAATTACTCGTTCAGCCTGATATTAGATGCCATATAGATATACAGTATCTCATTGCACACGTACGAGTACACGAAGAATTTCGCCGTGATCGCTCTAGATGGAAGTAACATAAAGAGTGCAGGATCTGTAAGATTTAAACGCCGTTCAAGCTCTCGTACGAGATTCGAAATGGGGTGAAGTATTAAAAAAAAAAAAAAAAAAGAAAAAAAAAAAAAAAAAAAAAAAAAAAGAGGTATCGTCAATAAAGACAAGGGTTCTCACAGGACACCGAAGAGGAGCGTGTTAATGAAGAGTCTCCAGTCAGTCTTCGCCTTTGCGGGCTCCGACAGGTGGCAGGCAGTTTGCTTCGAAATCATGACGGTAGTAAACTCCGGTTTTATGACCACTTGAACAGAATCGTAAAAGTCAGGACCTTTAAGCTTATAGTGCGGTAGGGCGCGTGTCGGTCATGGTGGGGGCGTGAGGAGAGACCCCGTGGTGGGGGTTAGGTGGGTAGCCAAAATGGGCCTAATGCCCCTTTTAAAGCCCCATCAAAGATAACCCGCCAGCGACTAAGGGGTTTATTTAATGCTCGGCGCCCGTTCTCATAAAACCGGCCTCTAACGAGCTGCTGACGAGAGACACTTGCTCGGCTGACGGCTCCATGATTTCTTGCAATTCCATAACAAAAGCCTCGTGTACCGAAACACGAGTGACGGCCCTCTTTCATGGAGATTATCGTATAATAGGCAAAGCAGCCCATTCCTACTGTAACGGGCTTATGGTTTCTCGACTCGAGTCACAGTGGGAAAGTCCTGTGGTACCGTTTACGTAGGTACCTGAAATCGTTTCTATCGTTCGCGGCCAGTGCGTTAAAGTGTCAAGACGTTCGAGTGTTACGGGCTCAAGATAAGTTTGGGGTATATGACGAACCTTCGGTAATACCAAACTGCATCTGTTGCATCGAATAATGTAACGATGCCCAATTCCGTCGCGATGAGTCTTATCGAGGATCTTACGGCAAATCGTCATGGCGTGAGAAACAGGCATTCGTTAAATTGACATGAAGAGCCTCTCCACGTTTTACGTATCGGCACTTAAAAGAGTCGAGGCATAATAGCATCGAGACGATCACGAGAAGCGTTCACAGGTGCACGGCTAATAAACGCGGCCGTGGGAAAAATTTGACATGATGAAAGAAGAAAAAAAAAAAAAAAAACAGGTGATATTGGTATTTTCGATTTTTGGGTATACGACCTCAATTTATGGTACGATGGGTAGAAGAAGAAATTTTCTTTAAAATAATAAATTGTTTGGTCGAAAAGTTTCTTTAAAAAAAATTCCATACTTTTTTTAAAGATTTTCAAAATTTCATGGTTACCAAAGAACAAACGAATATCTTTGGAATCCATCGAAGATTCGTCGTCTATCCTTGCAATAAATTTGTCAAATTCTAAAATGTCTATAATTGCGATGGATCAGGTTTTTTTTTCTTATAATTTATAAAAAATAATATTCTTTATCAAATTATCACCGTTCGCGTATATTCGTTGTTTTATCTGTAACAGTCAAATCTTTCCACGCGAACATTTCAATTTTTTCGTACAATCAGGACGCAAGTATCTATAGACAACTGTAATGCATATATTATGTATCGAGGTACCGATAGTTGAAAAATCCCAAAGCGACGCAAGAGTTTCCAAAATATTGTTAAATATAGCGATTTCCGAAATGGTCGTACGTACCGTGAAACAGTCAAAGTTTGTTACTTCTCTAATCTCGAGCGTTACCGCAAGTACGACGTCGTAGCGTCACGACGCTAGAGCGTCGCGATTTCTCCGATACCTCTCCTCGTAAAAGTTAATGTCCTGTGTATGAAACAATCGAACGACTCTATCTTCCGAACCGCCAGTATGTACCTTTCCAAAGTCGGAAATCTCAATAGAGAAGCGCGGCCACCGAGAACCCGGCTTACCGAAACCTCCCTTAAGAAATTTTTGGCAGATACCATAGAAAACCCCCGTTATACGAATGCCCACGTATTTATAAGACATTGAATTCGTTATTGCGTCGAATTTTACGAAGTCTCCTGAATGAAATCCAAAAATAATATCGGATTAACGCAGACACGGTACCACCCCGATCAACCACCTATAAATAACGGACGTAAATTTTAAAGCTAAAAAAAGAAATTTTTTATCTGCATCTCTCTCCCACAAGCACAGACTACGTTTATCTATCCACTCGAATACATTAATTTCGTGTGTTACATTAATTCCGCACTCACACAAGTGGCTGTTTCGTTTCACTTAAGCTTTTCTCGATAAGAGACCAAGAATCCTTTAATGCACCAGTAAGAAGCGGGCCCCTCGGCCGAGCCCCGAGACATTCTACGGAATCCAAATAAAGTCATCCAACACTTCCACGCGTTGACGCGGTTACCAGAATTCAAAAGCGTATATCCCTCGTCGCCGATAAACCCCAAAGAAATGACACGTTAATATTTTTAGACACAAATACAACCAGCACCGGTGACTAACATTAGACAAAACAGATGACGCAAGGGTGCTTCGACAATATTTAGAATATCAATACCAAAAAAAAAAAAAAAAAAAAAATTT